AACCCAAGTAGCCCCTGCCCAGAAGCGTGAGGATGTATGTTACAGATGTGGGTGCAAAGGACATTGGTCCCGCACATGTCGAACGCTCCACATCTTTGTAAGTTGTACCAAGAGGCCACAAAAGGCAAAGGGAAAGAAGTGAACTTCACTGAACACTTTGAGGGTACATCGTACCTTGACTCCCTTGACTTTGCGAATGATTTCGATGAGGCCGATATCGGGAATAACTGAAATGCTTGTAGTGAGACTATTGAATAGTCTCCAGTAATGTCATGTATAATTATTACGATTTCAGTTTTAGAAAAAAATAATGTTACTTCTGACAACTATATAATGTATAATTATTGTGTGTTTCTTTTCTATTAATGAATTTTTCTTTGGATTTATTAATGTTTATGTTAATTATAGAAATGGATCACAATACAAATGGAACAATATCCAAGAAAAGGTTTCGAGGAACTTGTATACTAGATAGTGGAACGACGCACACTATTCTGAGACAAAAGAGATTTTTCTCTAGTCTAAAACTTACAAATATCATTGTCAATACAATTTCAGGTCCTGTAGACTTGATTGAAGGAACTAGTAAAGTTAATTTTACGTTTCCCAATGGAATAAAATTTTCTATAGATAATACTTTGTATTCTCCGAATTCTAAAAAGAAATTATTGAGTTTTAAAGACATATACCTTCAAGGATATGACACTCAGTCCGCAACTGAGGACGGAAAGAAGTATATGTACATAATTTCTAATAAATCAGGAAAAAGTTTATATTAGAAAAGTTCCCCAAACTTCCTTATGGTTTACATCATACCTATATAGATGCAGTAGAATCTTATCTCGTGACCAATAGAAATCCAAATGATTTCACACTTTGGCATGATCACCTTGGTCACTCAGGCACCTCAATGATGCGTAAAATCGTAGAAAGCTCACATGGTCATTCACTGAAAATCCAGGAGATATATCAGGAAATAAAAAGACATGTGCTGCATGTTCTCTTGAGAAATTAATCATAAGGCCATCGCCAACCAAAATCGATCAAGAATCACCAAAATTCCTTGAAAGAGATATTTGTGGACAATATATCCACCATGTGGACCTTTCCACTATTTTATGGTACTAATTGACACATCCAGTAGATGGTCATATGTTTGTCTATTATCATTTTAAAATATGGCATTTGCTAGATTTATAACTTAGATAATCAAACTGCAAGCTCAGTTTTTTTATTATCCTATTAAGAAAGTTAGATTAGACAACGCTGGTGAATTCACATCCCAAGCATTCAATGATTACTGTATGGTAATGGGAATTGAAGTTGAACATTCTGTAGCTCATGTTCACACACAAAATAGTTTGGCTAAATCATTAATCAAGCGTTTGCAATTGATCGTAAGACCAATGATCATGAGATCAAAACTTCCAACCTCTGTATGGGGACATGCCATTTTGTATGCAGAAGCACTCATTCGGATAAGGCCAAATATGTATCATAAGTATTCTCCATTCCCGTTTGGTCGAGAATCTTTGGTTGTACCAGTAGCACCACCACAACACACAAAGATGGGACCACAAAGAAGGTTAGGAATATATATTGGTTATGATTCTTCTTCAATTATACGGTACCTATAACCACAAACGGGAGACGTCTTTGCGGCACGGTTTGCCGATTGTCATTTTGATGAAAATGTATTCCCGGTTCTAGAGGGAGAAAGTAAAGAAATGGGAAAGGATATAAAATGGAGTGTACCAACATTGTTACACTTTGATCCTCCCACTAAACAGTTTGAACTAGAAGTTCGATAAATTACGCATTTGCAGAGTATAGCCAATCAGCTACCAGATGCATTTGCAGATACCAAAACGGTAACTAAATCCCATATACCAGCTGCAAATGCTCATGCTAATATTGAAATACCATAGGAACGTGAAAGAGAAGATGATACACGTGATTCCAGAACACGCTTGAAGCATGGTAGACCTGTCGGTTCTATGAATAAAAATCCTATAAAGAAAAACGAAGCTGAAATGCAAAGCACACCCAAAATAGCGGAAAATATTTTGGAGAAAGAAAATCGTGAGATAAATGATAACGCAGAGCATCATGAACCTGAATGAAATCATGAGATTTCTATCAATTACATCCACAATGGAAAGATATGGAATCGAAATGAAATAGATGATGTTGATGACGTTTTCTTATACCTTGTGTCTAAAGAAATAGATCAGGAAAAGATCCAGAACCTAAGTACATGTATGAATGTCAAAAGAGACATGATTGGATAAAATGGAAGGATGTTATACAAGTAGAACTTGATTCGCTTAGTAAGCGAAATGTATTTGGACTTATTGTGTTCACACCTATAGATGTGAGACCAGTTGGATATAAATGGGTTTTCGTTTGAAAACGAAATGAGTAAAATGAAATCATGAGATATAAGGCTTGCTTTGTAGCCCAAGGTTTTTCTCAAAGACCTGTAATAGATTATGAGGAAACACATTCTCCTGTTATAATGCAATCACATTTAGATTCTTGATGAGTCTAACAGCTGATGAAAATTTAGAGATGCGTCTTATGGATGTCTTTACAGCATATTTATGTGGAACATTAGAGACAGATATCTATATGAAAATTCCTGATGGATTTAAGATGCCAGCAGCATTAAGCTCCAAATCCAAAGAATTATGTGCAATAAAATTGCAAAGATCATTATATGGATTAAAGCAATCAAACATATATGGTACAATCGTCTTAGTGACCATCTAACGAAAGAAGGATATGTGAATAATCCAATATGCTCATGTGTTTTCATTAAGAAAACAACATCCGGATTTGTAATAATCGCGGTATATGTTGATGATCTAAACATTATTAGAACTCAAGGGGAAATACAAAAAACATCAAATTATTTGAAAGGGAATTTGAGATGAAAGATCTCAGACAGACAAAGTATTGTCTATGCCTGCAAACTGAGCATTCTCATAATGGTATTTTTGTACTCTTATGGTTGTTAGATCACTTAAAGTTGAAAATGATCCATTCCGACCACATGAGGAAAATGAAGAGATACTTGGTCCTGAAGTATCATATCTAAGTGCAATTGGAGCTCTTATGTACCTTGCGAATTGTACACGATCTGACATATCATTTGCTGTTAATCTTCTGGCAAGATTCATCCCTGCCCGAAGACATTGGAACGGGATTAAACATGTCCTCCATTACCTTCAAGGGACTACTGATTTAGGTTTGTTTTATCCTAAAAATTCAGATGGTTAAATGGTTCGTTTTGCAGATGCAGGATATTTATCAAATCCACATAACGTCAGATCTCAAACAGGATACGTCTTCACAACCGGATGCCTGCTATATTTTGGCGTTCTCAGAAATAGATAATTGTAGCCACTTCTTCGAACCATGCTGAGATTATCGCACTTCACGAAGCAAGTAGAGAATGTGTATGGTTAAGGTCAATAAGTCAACACATCCGATCAAGCAGTGGAATTCACGTAAATACCAAGCCAAATATCTTGTATGAAGACAGTGATGCATGTGTTGCTCAAACGAAGGAAGCATATATCAAAAGTGATAGAACCAAACATATCCCTCCGAAATTCTTTTGATACACTCAAGAACTCAAGAAGAATAAAGAAACCAAAGTAAGATATGTCCGATCATGTGATAATGCAGCCGATCTCTTCACAAAATCATTGCCTACCTTTATGTTCAAAAAGCATGTCCATAATATCGAAATGCGTCAGCAACAAGACCTATAAGATGAAACCCTGCTCATTCGAAGAGCAGCTTATATGGTGTATTCTTTTCACCTGGCTATGATTTTTCCCATTAGATTTTTCTAGAAAGATTTTTAACGAGGGAACAGAAATGTTAAGCCAAAGCTATAATGACACTGGTCTCCAATAGGGAGTGTTACGAAAGACAAAAAACAACATTGAAAGGTCAACAATAAATGCATATGAAATGTAATGAATAAATTGTGGAGCTTACCGTCATTATGCGTATATAGTAAATCTCTATTTTTACTTTCTATATAAACAAATAATTTTGTTCATTGTAAAATCATTATAACACATCTTAATCTTTAACAAAACATAAACGAATAATAACTTTCTCTCTTTTGTCTCTTTTTTTAGTATTTATTTTTTTAGATATAAATTTTTCATCTTTATTTATATATATTTATATGATAAATTATATAATTTATCATAACAAAGGTGGAGAAATATATAAGTAGATACCATCTATCTTTTTACATTATCTAAAACTAGATTGGTTTTTATATGGTTTGATGTATATAGATTTTGTAATAGAGCCTTCATATATTGTCCAGAGGCATGATTGTGTAGTTTAAGACATTAAAATACAAATCTCTTTCGGATCTTGTAAAATGAAAAAATATTAAATACTAGGAAAAAATGAAGATTAAATATATAATTTTGTTTGTGGAAAAATAATTTATAATATAACACAAACGTAAATTTTGAGTATAAATTTGGTTTATATATACTTCTCTTTTTAAAATAAAACAAAGTTTATGTATCTAGTAAAATCGCTAAACGTTTGGGTTATTTGAAAACTTTATATGGTAATCTATCTCTTTCCATATTTCGTAACCAAAGAGCGTGGTCTGGAAATCAACTAAAGACAGTACGGGCACTTAAGGCCTCCATTTTGTTATCGGCTACTTCCACTACCCTCTTCTCTTCTTCTTCCTGCGTCACCTGCTTCTTCTTCTTCAGAATTGGTCGCTGGGTAAGTGAGTCTGTATCCCTTTAAATCAAGTCCGCTTTTTGCACCTCTTGTTCTCGATTATGTGTTTCAGACTCAAAACTTTTCTCTTAATTTCTGCCATCAATTTCCCCTACAACTCTCAGATTACTGCTTTCTTCAAACTTTTGTATTTTTTATTATAAAATTCTCTTCTTTTATGGCTTTTCAGATTCCTTGAAGCAGTTGCGAAATCAAGTTGGAGAAAAATGGTTGTGTTCGGGAATGTTTCCGCGGCGAATTCGCCTTATCAAAACGGGTTTTTGGAGGCACTTACAACATCTGGAGGCTGTGAATTAATGGGACACAGCGTCAGGATTCCGACTAAAGCACTCAAGACAAGAACAAGGAGGAGGAGTGCTGGTCCTTTGCAGGTGTCTGCCTGTCTGGTTTCTTACTTGAATCCTCTGGAAATTTTATGCTTTTTAGTGATTAAAGTAGAGATTTTTGACCTGTGTGGTTAGGTAGTTTGTGTGGATATACCAAGGCCAGAGCTAGAGGGCACTGTGAATTTCTTGGAAGCTGCAAGTTTATCTGCATCTTTCCGCAGTGCTCCTCGTCCTGCAAAGCCTTTAAAAGTTGTAATCGCTGGTGCTGGTATGTCTCAAACTTAAATTGATTCCTGCTTTTTTGGGATCTAATGAAGTTTTGATGTGATTAGAGCTTTACATCTCAAATAATTGCAGGATTGGCTGGATTATCAACTGCAAAGTACTTGGCTGATGCAGGCCATAAACCTCTGTTGCTTGAAGCAAGAGATGTTCTTGGTGGAAAGGTACTTTTGATTGGTCTTACTCTTCATCTGCTTTATAATCAAACTCTCTTGGTTGTTTTACTACGCTTACCATTCTTATTAGACTTATTAGTTTCTCAATCTGCACCAAACGAGCTTGTGAGGGTATGAGATGTGACTAATGCTTAGAGTGTCAAAGTTCTTAGGGAAAGAGATTGTGTACATGTATCTGTCTTGTTTGTTTGTTTTAGTCTTTCTACCCAATTTTTTTTGCAATGTTCTTATCTCTTCTGTCGTGTGCTACACACCGCACAAACACTTTCAGTCCCTAGGCTTTATGTGAAACAATATAGAGTAGTTTACTGGAAACTATTTTTATGATTGGGTATCTTGTTACATTGTTGTTGTGTTCTCTGGCTCTTGGTTAGGTTCTTGTTTCTTCCGTTTCAGCAAGTTTACCTTTCTTATTTTGATAGCATCTATTAACAATATGAAGTTTGTGTTCCTCCAGATAGCTGCATGGAAGGATGAAGATGGTGATTGGTACGAAACCGGTTTACATATATTTTGTAAGTTCAAACTCATAACCTCTCCGTTGCTCCTCCAATGTATATATTATTAGGTTTTCACAAGACGGTTCATATTTGAAGCATTAGCATTTTGAATTCGATATGATTGTAACACACTTCTTGAATATGCTCATTGAGATTATCAAGAAAGATCCTTCTTGCTTTATCCCATCTGCCGTTAGTTTGGAGAAAGTTGTATTATAAAACTTATGGTTTAGTAATCATCGATGGAAATTTATTTTGTTATCTTGTTATTTCTTTTCTTAAGTGAAGTTCTTGACGTTTTTCTCCTTGATTCTTTTCATATTCTTGCTGGAAGTCGGTGCTTATCCGAATGTGCAGAACTTATTTGGAGAACTTGGGATCAATGATCGGTTGCAGTGGAAGGAACACTCCATGATTTTCGCCATGCCAAGTAAACCTGGAGAATTCAGTAGATTTGACTTCCCAGATGTCCTACCTGCACCCTTAAACGGTGAGAGGATAAACTTTTAGCATGTTCTATTGTTCTTATCTGCTTACCAGCTTATATATATATATTACGCCTTCAAGTTGTTTGATCTTTCAAACATAACATATCTGATGAAAACAGTGCTTGAGTGTTTTGTTAATGGCATCGTGGGTCTGGTTCGAAAAGGTTGGATTAATATGCATACACGTGTTGAATGTAAACCAAATAATGATGTAGTTGAGTAGAAAGCTAGGTCAATATAAGCTAATGATAGAATTTGACATCTAAAACTATTTAAGGAACTCATGAACATTAGATGGATATACATCTAATTTAGACGTCATGTTCATTTTTATTATCATAATTTTGAGCATCCACTAAACGTATGTTACGAAATCCACTTATGTAAAAGGGAAAATCAAACTATAAGCAAGGTATGATAAATGAACTACATTGTGGCATATTGCTGTATCGTCCTCTGGTAGAAGTAATATGTTTCTGGCAGATAGTGTAACTTGTTTCTATGGACATTTTCTCTGTAGGTATATGGGCTATTTTGCGGAACAACGAAATGCTGACATGGCCAGAGAAAATAAAGTTTGCTATCGGACTTCTGCCGGCTATGGTCGGAGGTCAGGCTTATGTTGAGGCTCAAGATGGTTTATCAGTTGAAGAATGGATGAGAAAGCAGGTAAGTAGGCTATTTGGTTTTGAGCTCACATGTCCTGTCCTGTGAGGTTTTGTAGAGTTTACTTGCATTCTTTCTTATGTTTAGCTGTCTACTCAGATTGCTAACTATACTAGTTCATGTGGGTCTTTGTTGCTTTTACTCATGAGATAAAAATGGATTGTGATGAAGTGTTATATATTCTTTCTAGGGAGTACCTGATCGCGTGACTGATGAAGTGTTTATTGCCATGTCAAAGGCACTTAACTTCATAAACCCTGACGAACTTTCAATGCAATGCATCTTGATAGCTTTGAACCGGTTTCTTCAGGTTCGGAACCATTCTTCTCATGAATGATTTAGCACTCAAACATGTTCATTTCTCATGTGTAGTTTGAAACTAACCATAAGTAAAGCTACAATAACTGGTCAGGATTTTGAGGATATGTCATTAAAAACTGCATTTGACAGGAAAAACATGGTTCCAAGATGGCATTCTTAGATGGTAATCCTCCTGAGAGGCTTTGTATGCCGATTGTGGAACATATTCGATCACTAGGTGGGGAAGTACGACTTAACTCCAGGATAAGGAAAATTGAGCTTGAGAATGATGGCACGGTTAAGAATTTCTTACTCACTGATGGAAGCACTATCGAAGGAGACGCCTATGTGTTTGCAGCTCCAGGTTCACACTTCTATGCTTCTCTTTGTTCGTGATTTACATTCCATCTGGTCTTTTTGGACTCCTGCTTCATATTCTGTTTACGTTTTTTCTTCTTCTTGTAGTCGATATCCTGAAGCTTCTTTTGCCTGACCCCTGGAAAGAAATACCATACTTTAAGAAACTGGAGAAATTAGTTGGTGTGCCAGTGATTAACGTTCATATATGGTTAGTGAAAGACTAATAATATCTCTCATGTTTTGTTCTTTCTCTTCTGCCAATTTGGTCTTTAAGTGCTGTGAACTAATGTTGCAGGTTTGATCGGAAACTGCAGAACACATATGATCACCTACTCTTTAGCAGGTGTGATTTCTAATCTGAGCAGTTTTGAGTCATTTCTATTCATCAAATTTAACAACCATAGAAATGAATCAGCAACAGTTAACGCTTATTCTTGGTTAGATTTTTAACATATTTTCAACAATCTTGTTCTTCTTTTGCAGAAGTAACCTTCTGAGTGTATATGCAGACATGTCGTTAACTTGTAAGGTAAAGAATGTGGTTCTTGTCGGGTTTTAGTATTGTGAGAGCTCTTAATTGACACTTTTCGGTTAACTTCTTTATTTAACTCTGTAGGAGTATTACGATCCTAACCGGTCGATGTTGGAGCTAGTGTTTGCACCTGCAGAGGAATGGATATCAAGGAGCGACCTTGACATCATAGATGCAACAATGAAAGAGCTGGAGAGACTCTTCCCCGATGAAATCGCGTCTGACCAAAGCAAAGCCAAGATCCTGAAGTACCATGTAGTGAAAACTCCAAGGTTAGAGAAGTTATACACCAAAACCAAACATTGGATAAGATGCCTATGATGATAATGGATACAATATCTTTCTCTCTTGTTTGCATAATCAGGTCTGTGTACAAGACCGTTCCAAACTGTGAACCCTGTCGTCCTCTACAGAGATCTCCAATTCAAGGATTCTACTTAGCTGGAGATTACACTAAACAGAAGTACTTAGCTTCCATGGAAGGAGCTGTTCTCTCTGGCAAATTCTGCTCACAGTCTATTGTGCAGGTAAAACAACAAATAATTTGTTAACCAGTGACCCTGTATCGGTAAAATAATCCGGTTTTCGCCAAGAACCGGTCTGTTGACTCGGTTTTATCCGGTTATATAGAAATATTGGTTAGTCTGATGAATTTTTGAATTTGGGTTACTTATTTGTTCAGGATTATGAGCTATTGGCTGCATCTGGACCAAAGTTATCTGAGGCGACTGTATCAACATGAGAGACGATGAAAGAAGCTTCAAGATCATTGCTTGTAAGCATTATTTGTGACTTTTCTCTGTGTGTGTATAAAAAAATCTCAATGAAACAAAATCCAAAATTGACGCTACTCTCTGCAGTAAATGAATCTCACAGATTTGACATGTCTTCCTTTTCTGTCATCATTATAATCTTTTGAAAAGTAATTACTATCGACTTTTTGTAATCAAAGTGATTGCTCATTATGTCTTCTCTTTTGTAAATTTGTTTGTTATATATGCTCGGTACAAAATACATATTGTAAGGTTGGATCCTTGATTGATTAGGATATTAGAAGAAAAAGAAAAATATATTTTAAAAATTTCCAACCACAAAATGTCATTGCTCTTTAAGCCTAGCATGTTGTTGTAGGGTCTAAAAAAGTCTCTTGCAAGTCACGTGAGCAGCGAACTCGAATTGCTTTTGGCTTGGGTAATGAAGACAGCAGGTGATATAAGTTACAAGACACCAAAGTATTTGCACTTTCTATATATACAAATGTGTAACAGTTTGATTTTATAAAAAAATTATAGCATATGATACGGATATTAGTAGTTACTATACCTGCGGATGTAGTAATTGTTATTGTAAATTTGACTGAAAATTTGAAGTATGTGTACGGGTGGTGAAATTTTACAATTCATAAGAAAATGCTAGTACGAATGTTTATTGCTCTGACTTTGAGTAATGACCACATTTTGTTTTCGTATTTAAATATATATCATAACTTTGTCTTCTAACGTTACCAATTCTTAATCCAAGATCTTATAATACATATTGAACGTTATATAAAAACCCCCTCTTGTAGTATTGTCTCTTATTTCTAATTTTGTTTAAACCAAAGTCTTTAATTTTTGGTGAGATCTCATAGATATCCACACATTTGATAATTAGAGACATGTGTTTCATGTAGTTGGTATCATAAGTACAATCATGAATAACTAAAATAAAATATTGGCGAATGTTCCATGTGATTGATTATCATTGCTCAAAGATTTCTATCTCCTCATAGATATATTTGGAGTTTGATTCAGAACTCTTCTTTAATTAACTACAAAAATATATATATTTTGAAAACCTATGGCAATTTCTTCCATAGTTTTTTCTTTTTCTTTTTTTGGTTAGAGATAGATGTAAAAGAGAACAGAAAAATTGTTTGAGCACAATATGCTCCAGTAAATAATGTTTGATTTGTTTTAAAATAAGTGTCACTTTGGTATTTTCACACAAATTACAAAAATTATTAAAAATTCTGTTTTGCCTTTTGTTCATACACAAAATAATATTTTCTTTCTAATTAAAATAATAAAATTCAAAAGATAAAACTAGATATTTATTCAAAATTATACATTTGAAAATATAAAATGACAGTTAAAACTTTAGAATGACGTTATCAGCATTGATTATTTAACTGTCACTCATCAATATCCCGTACACTCATTGAGATGGATGATCGATTCCAATAGCCGGATCCAAAGTTAGGATTGTTAATAAAGACTGTTTTTAATTATTTGCTTAGTGATGATAATGCTAACAATAATCAGTTTGGTAACAAACAAAAAAGTCACCAAATGATAATGATTAATGAATTTGTTGGTTGTGAGAATTAGCAATGAGCCAATGATATTTTTGATTGATACTTCACACTTTACTAAACCTCCGTACATTATACGATAGATACAATAATGGGCCCCACTCACCGATCAACGTTTGGTTTCTGAGTGGGCTTTTGCTTCGCTTCTTCGTTTTCTAAAATTCTCTCTCTCTCATTTACTTTTGCTTTTATAAAAACTAAAACGCTTTTCTGTTCCAAAACGTTTAACTTCTCTCTTTCTTCTGTAAAAACCTAATATACACACACACTCTTCGCTAAAGGAAAACCCAAAATAACCCACATGGATTCTCAGGACCACAACAACAACTCACAGCACTCTCCAGGTTTCTTAATCATTAACAATGTCTTTAGGGTTTTCTTCTTAAAGTTTCAATTTTGGATCATTCAATGTCGTAGCATTTTCCGGGTTCTACTTGATTTTACACTTTTGTTCGTCTCTTGAGATTTCTTTGTGATTTTTCAGTTTTTGATTTTGATTTCTCATTTTTTTAACTGTGTGTTTTATTCTCAATCTGTTCATGTTTTTTTTTTTAAATCAATGTGCATAAAAATGGTTTTTTTTGTACTTTCTAGCAAATATTTCGCTTTTGCAATAATGGTTTCTTCCTTTTGTCTTTTAATGTCTATTTGATTTGATTAATTGGTTTTGCTTTCTGAATTTTTTTTTTTGTTTTTTTAAGTTTTGCTTAGAAAAGTCTTGTAGAGAATATCAATTTTAAGTATATGAACACTGAAGATTCTGTAAACTCTATTTATATAGGAGGTAAGAGCAATGGGGCTCATGTTTGCACTAAATGTGGTTGGAATTACCCAAATCCACATCCTAGTGCTAAAAACCGGCGTGCCCACAAGAAAATATGTGGAACCATCAAAGGATTTGAGATCCTTGATTCCGAAAAGTCCAAACAGAATCTTGATTTGCAGGAAGAACATTTCTTGGATGATGAGCAAAAAAACCCAAGTAAGAACATTTTTTTTTTATCTGAGGTGAAAAAGTAGAAAAGAGTTGCGGTGAAAATGTGAATACTTTTTTTTAGCCTGTCTCATTGTTGTTTGTTTCTTTGATTGCTAATGTTTGACGTATGTTTAATGAGTTAAAGGTCCAAAATCTGTGGAGAAAGATGAAGTTGTGGCGAAAGCTGATGAAAGAATTGGGGATATAGTTGAAGAGGATGTGTTTGCAGATGCTGTTTGTGAATTTTCTAGCAGCGTTGTATCTGATTCTTTCAAGGAAAAGGAAGAGACTGCAACAAATCGTGCTGCAGAGAGTACTAAGAATCCTGGTTAGTTTCTCTCTTTGATAAACAATTCAGGAATGATGTTACCTTCTGATGCTAATGAGACTTGGTTGAGTTTCTTTTGATGCTTTATACTGTTCAAAGGGAAAGACTTTCTGTTCACTTTTGATGTTTTTCGGTTTTATTCCCATTTGGCTTTCTTGTTCTGTTCCTGCTTTATTTCGACTTTATAGCTGATGAATATAGTACTGCTCAGGTGACACTCAGGAGTACAAAGGTTCGTCAACGGCTTGCGTGATGAAAAATTCTGAAGTGGTTCAAGAGAGCTGTGAAGTTCCACCCATGGAGGTCCTTGAGAGCCATGACGTCCCATGTTCAGTTGAAGCTGCTTCTGGTAATCATAAAGGTGGAACACCTTCTACTGAAGAACGCTCTATGGCATTTGAAACTCTGAATGAGTCGTCACAGGAAGCTCAGGTTATTGACAGTGGTGATATCATATCAAATGTTGAATCAGTGACAGAGTGCAAAGGAAAACTACCGGATGAATCTGAATCAAAGTTAGCATTTTCATTAGGAAAGAGAGAAGATACTTCGAATTCATCATGGAATGATGAAGTGATTTACTCAGACTTGGAGGGTCCTGATGGATTTGCTTTTGAAGCCACGAGTATGGTTCATCCTGGTGAAGCTGGCTATATAGTCAGTGAGAATGTTCCGGACGATACTTCTTCTGTAAAAGCCAATGCATCTGAAGTTATCAGCACCAGTCAATCCGCTCCTGAAAATGCTGACGTCTCTCTGCATGGAATCAAAGGCATTGAAGAATTTGAGTCAAATATCTCTGAGACACCTAAGGAAGAAGAATGTGAAACTGAGACTCGTACTCAGGCAGAGAATTTGGGTATTCAGCCTGAAGGCTTAAGTATTGGCTCGGAGGTTCCTTCATCAGACAAGCTTCTCTTGGATGACGAAACTGAATTTCAAGGCCAAACTGCTTCGGTTGCAGTCAAGGAACTTCCCAGCGCAGAGACGATAGTGATATCTAAGACTGATCCTGAAGATATTAAAATGAAGGCTGAAGTGGGTAAATCATCTCTTGGTGGTTCTCAAGAAACTTTTGAATCAGAAACCTTGAGAGCGTCCCTGCCTGCGGTAGATTCTATAGTTGCTGACTCAAATGCTGATGTGAGTCATTCAGCTAACAAAACTGGTGTAGTTGATCTCATTGGTCATGAGAGTGAACTTGTTCAAGCAAGTGTTGTAGATGCGGAGAACAGCCCTAGCAAGCTGAGTTCTGAATCCTCTTGTGCCACTGAAAACTATGTTTCTCCGGTTTCTGTTGTATCTTTGGGAGACAAAGCTAGCCATCAGAAGAAGAGTTCAACAGAAACATCTGAAGACTCTGTCCTCCAAACCGGTCATGAAGCCTGTGAAAGTAATGATGAAGCTCGCAGAGAGAGTAGCAAAGGGGAGGTTGTGGAGGAAAGCAGTTTCATAAACGTAACAAACACAAAGGATGATCCTATAAGCCATTCTGGATCAACAGGCACTACACCTGATGATTCTGCTAATCAGAAGTTGCTGGAAAGTGGAAGGACAGAGTTCAACAGAGTTGTTGGTGGCTTGGGGGTTATTCAAGCAAATGAGATCGACGGTAATGTTAAAGCACACGACCTTTATGCTGAGGTCCCTGTGACAATCGAATCAAATGACCATCGAGATTTTGGGAGACTGCAGAATCTTTCAGAAGCACATATTAGATCACTGGTTTCGAGTCCATTAGTCACTAGAACTAATACATCTAATGCGTTTGAATCCAACCTGAGATCGACTTCAGGTACATAAGCTATTTCACCTTTAAAAACCAGATTATTGTGTATCATTCTAATAGCCATGTTGATTAAGTTGGAACAGGACTAAGTGATGGAGTTAACAAACCGGAAAACGCATCTCAATCATCATCACTTGCTGTTGCTCTGTCGAAGAACCAAGAGATCACTATGGAGAAGACAACAAGCTGGAGCTCAGCAAAGGAACAGCACGTCCCGCTGAAGAACCTTCTGAGTGAAGCAAGATCACCAAGGCTACTTGCAGCAGCAGAGGCAAAGAAGGATAATGAGAGTAACAACATACCGAGAGTGAGTTCGATATTGGGACAAGAGACTTCCCCTGAAGACGGTCGTTGGCCAGAGAGAAGAGAAGTGAGTGAGGAGTGGAATTCTCCAGCAAAGTATCCAGTGGACTTGAAGAAAGAGGAGAGGAAAGTGAAAGGAAGACCCTTTTGGGTTCCATTTGTTTGCTGTTCATCTGTTAAGTAAAGGGCTCTGTTGTATTATTTGTAGGAGGATGATTTGAGTCAAAGGACTTGTGGTAGTACAAGACTTTTTATAAAGAAGCTTAGTAGGTTTTGGTGGTTCTTGTAGAATCTTTTGTTGCTTAGCTGTTGTTTATGCAGACCACTTATGAGTTTGACTTTTATCATATGACTGAATTTTCTTTCTTTTTTTTTTCGATTTCGTTTAAATTCAATCTTTCCAAGAGAAATCAAGAAACTCTGGAAGAAACAGAAAAGAATTGAAAATTGGTTTTGTTAGTTAACAAGAAAGCCAGAGATTTCTTGGCAAATATTTATAATTACACCATTGCATTTTTTCGGTCACGCTTGTGTTGTAATGCTCATTGATTCTATGCTTACATTATTGGTTAGCCACAAAATTTAATCTACAGATAAGATAAGCCATAAGTTGATCAAAGACTGCAACGCCCCGTTTTTTTTTAAACCGAAATCATTAATTAAATTTTCCAAACTTAACCAATTTAGGTCTTAATTTTCTTTTTTTTTTGAATTTTTCTTTTCCGTTTGAGAGATAATTTTTACTCTCTTTAAAATATACTAGGTGATCGGTCCGCACACTATAACATTTTATATGTTAAATATATAATTAATATTATATACTAAAAATATTCTATTTATATAATTAATTATGTATTAATCTTTAATATTATATAAATATTTAATAATAAAAATTAACGATAAATAAAATAAAAAATGTGATAGATCTTCATGAAGGAAAAAAAACATGAATCAAGAATATAAAATGGTTTTTTAAATAAAAAAATATAAATATGTTAACTAAATAAACTGAAACTATTAAAACATATAAAATATAGTTTAAAAATATCAAAAACATAAAATTTAAAAAGATTTTGAAACACTTCCTTGTAGACGACGTTTATAGTTTTCTTTTGCACTTTTCCTTCTTTGTCTGTGATGAGAACTTTAAATCCAGGTCTAGACTTAACTCTAGATAATGCAACATATAATTGTCCACGAGAGAAAACTGGTCTAGGTAGAAACAAACCGACATTCTCAAATGATTGTCTTTAGCTTTTGTTGATAGTCACTGCGAAAGCTAAAAGCTAAAGAGAACTTTCTATAGTACATTCTGAAAGGAAACCTTGTAACTGGTGGTGTTACGTACATCCTAGGGATTAGAGCTACTTGACCAATCATTTTTCTCAGTTCCCATTAAAATTCTATCTTCAACTACATGTAGAGCCATTTGAGTAATAATAAGTTTAGTTCCATTGCATATTCCACCCTTAGGATCTATGTTACGAAGACACATGACAGGAGCACCAACCTTTAATTTCAAGGAATGTTTCGACAACCCAGAAACTTTGATGCTATTCAAAAACTCAGTTGGATAGTCCATATTTTTCAATGTATATTTATCTGAAGGAATAATGCAATCAGAGCTAAGGTATATTTTCTCATCTTCTAAGATATTTATATAATAAAAAAATCAGTTGTGAACATACCAAAAAACCCATAAAAATAATTTGAAAAAGATAAAAAGTTTTGGAATGCTAAAATATTTATTATGACTACAATGATATTATATAAACATAATTAATTTAATAACAAGTTAAAAAAATAGTTTCATATTTTTTCAACCAAACTTAAACAGAAATAAACAAAATAGTATCACAGCTTAACTAAACTTTACATTTAAAATAATTTATGCTTTCTACATTATGAATGCATTATATAATATGGTAGTTATATTTATGAAAGTAAACCAAAAAAATTAATGTATGATAATATATTTGATATGAGTTATTTACCTAGAATAACCTTACTAAATAAGGTATTGACTAGATTAACATTCTTCCATAACTGAGTGACTATAATAACCTTACAAAGTTGTGAAAAGACCATATAATCCAAAAAAATTATGAGATAACCATATTGCCATTCTAGGAAAAAATGGATAAAAAAAAGAAATTTTAATTAAATAAGAAATTAATTAATAATATTGAAACCTAATACAGAGAAAGTTTTGATCCGATCCCAAAATTAGCACATTCTTGCCGCCACGGGATAAGAATCCCTAGATCTATCTTCTCCGACAGGCGAATCTCTTCTCCGGCAGGCGAATCCCGGCATTTACCTAGAGACGACGGCGGCGTCTCCTTACGGCAGACAGCGGTGCCTCCTTAAGACAGACGGCGACAATTGCTTCGTTGCTTTGTTTCGCAGCGAAAGAGTTTTTCGACGGCTGCTTCATTTCGCGGCGACTGAATATTGAGTAAGTTCTTTCGTCCATCATCATCGATTCGTCTCCATTTGTAGATCTACGGTTTTTCTTGATGGTAACCTTGGTTTCAGATTTGTAGATCTAGAGTTTTTGTAGTAAAGTCGGATTATAACCGGACTTTTGTTTTTATTTAGCAGAATTCTGGCGAGGACAAGGAGGAGAAGGCGATAGAATCCGGTGAGGATAGTTAATAGGGTATTAACTAGATTAACATTATTCCATAACTGAGTAACTATAATAATCTTAAAAAGTTGTGGAAAGACCATATGATTCAAAAAAATTATGAAATAACCATATTGCCATTCTAGAAAAAAAATGGATAAATTTTTTTTTTTAATTAAATAAGAAATTAATTAATAATATCGAAACCTAATACAGAAAATTTTTTAATCCGATCCCAAAATTAGCACATTCTTGCCGCCACGGGATAATAATCCCTAGATTTATCTTCTCCGACAGGCGAATCTCTTCTCCGGCAGGCGAATCCCGGCATTTACCTAGAGATGACGGCGGCGTCTCCTTACGGCATATAGCGGTGCCTCCTTAAGACAGACAGCGACAATTGCTTCGTTGCTTTATTTCGCAGTGAAAGAGTTTTTCGACGGCTGCTTCATTTCGCGGCGACTGAATATTGAGTAAGTCCTTTCGTCCATCATCGTCGATTCGTCTCCATTTGTAGATTCTTGATGGTAACCTTGGTTTCAGATTTGTAGTAAAGTCGGATTATAACCAGACTTTTGTTTTTATTTAGCAGAATTCCGGCGAGGACAAGGAGGAGAAGGCGATGGAATCCGGTGAGGATAGAGAAAGTACTTGGTAAAGGTAACTAGATAAACTTATTTGATGGTAGACTTTTCATTAGTAGACTTATTTGCTTTTATTGGTCGAATTTGTTGTTTTGGTAGACTTATTTGGTGATTAAGTTTCTCAACGGACTATTGTTTTTCCCTTTTAGGTAACAGAGATCCGGTGAGGACGACAACGAGTAGGCGACAAAATTCGATGAATATTGAGAAAGTGAACCGCGAAAAGGTAACCAGATTTTAATTTTTTTTTTCCATTTTCAGTTATGGTACATTTGTTAATTTTTGTTGTGCATTGATGGTAGACTTCATGATAATGACTTGCTGTCTTGATGGTAGACTTGTTTTACGATGGTAAACATGTTGGTAGACTTGTTTTGTGATGGTAAACGTGTTGGTAGACTTGATGGTTCATATGTTTGGAGGTAGACTTATTGTCTCTGTGGTGGTAGACTTGTTTGTTTGCTCGGTGAATTATTTTCTATGTGGTGATAGACTTGTTTATAATATATGCGTTTACTTTTACAGCTTAGTGGTTGGCGTCTTCAAGCGCGAAGAAGCTGAAATACCCATCCCGATTGTTTCCCCCGGGGAAATCTCCTGTTCAGAAGAGGAGTTTGAACAACAATTGTCATTTGACGGATTTTGGGATGTTGAAGGAGGCTGTTCGTGAGGATGTCTACAATGACATAATGAACAGTTCTCAAGTAGGAGTGGTATTAAGTCTTGCAGAGAAGAAGTACATATGGGCAGCAAAAACGGTCCATAACATGGTAACAAACCAGCTGGCTATTGATCGAAGTTACGAGATTTGGGCACTTATCGGTGGGCGTCCAGTGCGGTCAGCCCATTGGGGATGAGCCGTGGGACATATATCACAACGAGTTCTTGGAAGAGCTAGGCATGAATGCAGGTGTAGGGCCAAATTGGCATGAGTTGGTTGAGGTATTTGAAAGATACAAAATTTGGTCGTATCAGATGAAGAAGATGGTTGTGTTGCTGTTCATACTGCACGTTGGGATATTCGGTATTAATCGGAATATTCGACTTCCTTTGAACTGTGCGAAGAGAGTTATGGATGACGAAGCGTTTGAGAGTTATCCATGGGGGCGGGTAGGTTTTAAGGAGATGATTGCGTCCATCAAAGTGGCATTTTTGGGAGGAAACAACTACACCTTCCATGGATGTGTGCATGCGCTGCTTATATGGGTATATGAGCCAGTTCTGATTTTGGGAGAAAAATTTGGCAAACTTGAGAACAATCCACTCACTTTACTGTGTCCCCTACTTCGTTGGCGTTCATCTAGAGATAGATACATTCTTGAGAAAGTTTTGGAGGAAGAAAGAAGCAGATTCGATGACAAGAAGGTATGTTTTCCTTACATTAGTTATGGTTAAAATACGATGTGAACTGTACTTATGGTGGTAGATATGATTGATAGTATTTTAGATTTGATTTTTATTTCACTTTTTAGTATTAGTTGTGATGGATATATATATGTGGTTAACTTGTTAGTATTACTTGTGGTAGACTTGTTAGTATTAATTGTGATAGACATATCTATATATATATGGTGGTAGACTTGTTACTATTACTTGTCATAGACTTGTAAGTATTACTTGTGATAGATATATACGTGGTAGACTTGTTTGTATTATGATTTTGATTTGTCTATCTTTGTCTGCAGGTTAGGGTGAGACATCTAGTCGAGGTTCCTCGAGAGAATATATATCCGTTTTGGCCAGACGAGGAGTCAATGCCAGGGGTGGATCCGAAGCTTCACAATATGCTAAATGATATTCTCGATGAGACAGTTTGGGGGAGACAATTGACAACAATACAAAGGAGAAGGAGAAGGGGAAGGAGACGAGGAAGGATAAGAAAAAGGGCAAGGAGAAGGAGAAGAGAGAGAA